GGTGCAGCCAAGCCCCCTGTTCTTTGAGGAAGGTGAGCCACTTGCCGTTGGGGGCCTCGCGCAGCTGTTTAAGCGCGGACGCCTCATGCGCCCGCCGCATATTGATGGACTGGTCGTCGAGCAACGAGAGCTTCTTGTGGGAGGAAGAGGTCGTGGAGGAGGAGGAGGACGCGCTCGGCTCCACGACGAGCCGCTGCTCGGGCACCGCGACGACCCGCAGCTGTATGCGCACGCCGGCGCACGGCGCGAGGGCGCGACCGAAGAGGTGCTCGACGCGTGCCGCATGGTACGCGCTCGTCACCACTGCCACCTCAGTGAAGCGACCCTCCTCTGCCGCCACGTAGTCGCGCGTCATCAGCGCCTCGTCCACCGTGGTGAGCGCGGGGATGCCCTCGTCGACCAGCGCCGCGGAGGGCAGCCCGCTCTCGAGCAGCGCATCGGCGACCAGTCTCCAGTGCGGCCGCGTCCGCTCCGTCCCCGGCCCGCGCGCAATGCCGAGGTGCAACGTCTCATTGAGACCTCCGCTGGTCAGCACGCTCACGCGATGCCGAGTTGTGGTCGCGGCCGCGGCGAGGTCTATCGTGGCCTGCAGGCGCGGCAGAACGTCGATATCAAGACGTCCGAAGCGATCGTTGGTGCCGCCGCATTGAACCACGAGCAGGTGACCCGACGAGCTGACCCGACGAGGTGGTGAGCCCACCGAGGCAGCAGAGATGACGAGGAGTGCTGCGGGCATCGCGGGCACAGTGGCGGGCAGATTTGCGCACGCTTGTGGGTGAGAACGGCGTCCGTTCCTGCGTAAGCACAGCTGTGAACTTCCCAGTTGTTTGCTCTTGCTTGCGCGTGACCTCTTGCGTGCACGCCCAAGCTCGAGCGGCATCACGCAGAGCGAGCTCTGCGCAGGTCCCGCGACCTTCTCGGGCAGGAGCCCACCTCTCCTTCCCTCCGTGCGCCCAACGATATGGGCAAATCCGCGCCAAAGCGCGCTTCCGACGTTGACCAAGACGTACGGCCCGCAGAGGCAAAGGATGGCTCTGGGCCGGAGCCCCCTCCCTCGGGGGCTGGCGGGGGCACCGACGGGGCCCCAGCCGCGCCTCCCGCTCCTGTGGACTCGGCCGAGGAGCTACGAGTGCTTCGCAAGCGGCTCGAGCGGCTCGAGGCTCAAGCCGCCCACAGCCCGTCGCACCCGACGGTAAAGACCCCCCACCGGGAGGCGGCGGTGGCGGCGGCGACGGCGGCGGAGCGGGCGGCAAGGCGGCCAAGGACCGCGAGCGGCTGCGCCCCGACCCTCCCACCCCCCCAGACTCCGACGCCGACTCGTCGGAGGACGACGTGGGCGGCGGTGGTCATCGCGGCCCCCCCCGCCTCGGCGGCGGCGTCGGTCGCGACGATGCTGTCGGCGAGCTGTTCGGCGGCCACAAGCTTGCCTGCGACTACGACAGCGACAACCCCTTCGAGCGGAAGCGCGGACTGCAGCTGCGGACCTCGCACTACGCACCAGCGGCGGCGGGCGACACCGTGCACGCAGAGCTGCACCGCAAGCTCGGGGCCGCGAACCAACGAGAGGTGTACCCTCCTTCCCTCCCTCTC